CAAGATGCCTCATGGTGAACCCCTGAGGTATCGGCCCAAAGTTCGGAGTAAGAGGGGGTGCTCACGGCAGAGCCAAGCACACAGGCAAAAAAAAAAAAAAAACATCAATCATGTCTATGTAATGAAATCTAATAAGAATTCTGGAGACCAAAGCCCAAGTAAGTTTTCCATGTTGGCAATAATCTGCATATTGTCACAAGTCAATGATGGACATGACCTAGGGACAATGGGAACACCACATTTGAAAACAACAGAACCTCCTCAGATTTTGCCCTATGCACATTCTCTTCCTTTACCTGATTTTCTGTAGCCTTTCCCTACAATGAACTATAACCTTGAGTATAACAGCTTTCGGGGCGTTCTATGAGTCTTTCTAGCAAATTATCAAATCTAAGGGTGTTTTAAGAAACTCAACAAACTTGGAGTGGGTGTCAAACTTGAGAGCAGTCTCAGGGACTGTGCCCTCAGACCTTACAGTTTAACTCAAGCTAGACAGAAAGATTCAAAGAAGAAAAAAGGCAAATGGACAATAAACCTATGAAAACACATTTAATCTCGCTCAAATGTTAAAAATGAAATTAAAATGAGGTTACTCCTGAGCCCGCGGGTTCAAGACCCGCCTGGGCAGCGAGACCTCAGCTCTACAATAAATCAAAAAATCAGCTGGGCGTGGTAGCGCATGCCTGTAATTCTGGCTACTTGGAAGGCTGAGGCAGAAAGATCACCGGAGCCCAGCAGGTCAAGGCTGCGCTCCAGTCTGGGCGACAAAGCAAGACTCCGACTCAAAAAAAAAAAAAAAAAAATGAGGTTACTATTTTTTACCTTTCAGATTGGCAAGATATAAAAGATTGATAACACCTGAAATGTACAGAAATAGACATTCTCATATCTCTTCTATGCTATAAGCAGAAGTGAATTTTTTTTCAACATTTTACAAAGTTATTTGGAAATAACAAAACTATATAACTTCGTTTGGCCCAGGAATTTCAATTTTAGGAATTTATTCTTCAGATAAAATCATACCAGTCATAAAAAATATAAGCAAGAATGTTTATTACAGAAATAAGAAAACACCTAAATGTTAATCAACAAGAACCAAATAAATTATGGGACATACTGTGGATGGCCTTAAAATGAATTCATTTATATGACAGGACTGGAAAGCTGTCATGTTAAAAGAAAAAAAAAAAGCAGTCTATAGCCTTGGAGGACAAAATAATCCCATTTGTGTAGCCAAAAACCAAAATTATACCAAAATATAAGTATGTCTGTGAAGGCAGTAAAATAGCTGGAAGAATATTATCAAACTGTAAACTGTGGTTTTCTATAAAAAGTAGATTCAGGAAGAACGGGTATAGGGGACTGTGGTCTGCGAAATCTTGTAACGTGCAAACAAGGTTTTAAATTAAAGGAAACTACAAAAAGAAGAGTCAGATAAAGTTATACATTTTCAAAATAAATGAGAGACAGTTTCACCACCTTAAAAATGCCTCCCCCACATCTAACACATAAAAGGTAAAGAGAATGGAGGTAACAAGAGGGGATCTTTTGAACACTTGTTTGGAAAATGTTAAGATACTTTGAAGCCGGGCTCAGTGGCTCAGCCTGTAATCCGGCGCCTTTGGGAGGCTGAGGTGAGTGGATTGCCTGAGCCTGCGGGTTAGAGACCCGCCTGGGCAGTGAGACCTCATCTCTACAATAAAATCAAAAAATCAGCCGGGCATGGTAGTGCATGCCTGTAATTCCAGCTACTTGGAAGGCTGAGGCGGAAAGATCGCTGGAGCCCAGCGGGTAGAGGCTGCGGTGGCCGGAAGCGGTCACTGCACTCCAGACTGGGCAACAGAGTGAGACTCCAACTCAAAAAAAAAAAAAGATATTTTGAGCTCCCCTTCAACCCTCAAATAGAGAGAAGTTGACTCTCACTCTCAAGCCACACAAAAAAGGCTTCTAATCAAGTCTTCCAAAGAAGCTGCTGGTATCTGAAGTTAGGCCAGCCTTGTATAGGACTTTGCCCTAGTCTGACACTAACCCATGTTGGAACTAAAATGAACTGCAGGACACCCAGATGGTGCCAGAGAATTGGCATCAGAACATGCAATGTCCTTTCAGTGAATATAGCTAGAAAATACCGTTTATTTAAGTGCATACACACATACATGCATATTTAAGCTATACTTTTTTTATTTGTTTGTTTTGGTTTGTTTTTTTTTTTTTGAGTTGGAGTCTCACTCTGTCGCCCAGACTGGAGCACAGTGGCGGCTCCCAGTCACCGCAGCCTCGACCTGCTGGGCTCCGGCAATCCTTCCGCCTCAGCCTTCCAAGTAGCCGGAATTACAGGCAAGCGCTACTATGCTCAGCTGATTTTTTGATTTATTGTAGAGATGAGGTCTCGCTGCCCAGGCGGGTCTCGAACCCACCTGGCAATCCACTCACCTCAACCTCCCAAAGGCGCGGGATGACAGGCTGAGCCACCAAGCCCAGCTGAACTATACTTTTACAATGTAACAATAAGTATACTTTTTTAAATCCTAAATTCATATCAGCCTCCAAATCAAATGCAAAACCACTTGGAAATCACATTAATGCATATGGATTCACCATATTATTTTTCACAGAATGCAAGGATACTCCATTGTATGAACACACCATGCTTCTGCATAATCTTGTGCAAATGCTGTTTTGCATTGGGGAAGATGTAACTTCAAGGCAAATTCATACAACTAGGCCTGCTGGATCATGGGTAAATGTATATGTGATTTTGGTAAAAACTGTCAAAAACCCCTCTGCACAGGTCATACCTTTTTGGACTCTCACCCACAAAGTATGAGTGCCTGTTTAATTCATCAGCTGTTGTCCAGCTTTTGAATTTTTCCTATTTTGATAGGTGAGAAATGTATGTCAGTGTCGTTTTCACTTGCATTTCTCTTATTATGAGCAAAGTTGAGTACCTCGTCCTATGTTTAAATCTCCTTATAAGGCTTTTTCTGATAACTGTCTATATGCTTTACCAACTTTTTCTACTGGAGTTTTGTTTTTTTTTTTTAATTTCTAAGAGTTCTTCGTATGGTAGAAAGATTAACCTTTTGTTAGAGAGATAAGGGCAAATATTTTCTCCTGCTTTATCATGTGTCTTTTGATTTTGCTTACAGCCATATAAAACTCTTTAAAATCATTCATAAGCTCAATATTCATTTACTGCTACTAGATTCTGAATCATGTAGAAAAGCTTTTTCCAGGTTGTAAACTAATGCAATGAATTCTATTATTTGTATTTCCTTTTTTTTTCTCAAAATTTAGCTTTCTAGCCAGGTTCGGTGGCTCAGCCTGTAATCCCAGCGCTTTGGGAGGCTGAGGTGAGTGGATTGCCTGAGGCTGCGGGTTCGAGACCTGCCTGGGCAACTTGGCGAGACCTCATCTCTACAATAAGTCAAAAACTAGCCGGGCGTGGTAGCGCGCACCTGTAGTTCCAGCTACTTGGAAGGCTGAGGCGGAAGAATCGCCGGAGCCCAGCAGGTTGAGGCTGCAGTGGTAGAGAGCGGCCACTGCACTCCAGTCTGGGTGACAGAGTGAGACTCCAACTCAAAAAAAAAAAAAAATTTAGCTTTCTGATCCATTTGGAGACTACTCTGATACATACTCACAGTAATAGATGTTGTCACAGTATCAGTTATTTTTAAAGTCCCTTTTTTAAATTCCAGGACTTGAGATTCCACCTTTAACATATATGAAATTCCCACATATTCTTGGGTCTATTCTTAGGATCTTATTCTGTTGCATAGGTCTTTCTGTCTCATCATGAGCCAATCAGTACGACAGTTTTAATTATAGATGCCTTGAAGTATGTTTCAATATCTGGAAGGGTTAATCCTTCTCATTACTGCTTTGCCAAGGTTTTCCTAACTATTCATACAAGCTTATGTCTCCAAATGAACAGACCAGGTGAGGGGGTGGGGGAAAACTAATTGAAATTTTTAGTGATAACATCAGATTTATGTAGTAAGAGGACTGACACCTTTATCATTCTGAGTCACCCTACCTAAAACAAGGGAATGTCTTTCCATTTGCTCAAGTCCACTTTGGTATCTTTCAGGAATGTTTTGAAGTTTTCCAACACAGGTTTAAGCCATTTCTTTTTAAACTTATCCCTATGTAATTATTTATCTCTTATGTAGCTATTGTAAATGAGGTCTTCTTTTTCACTATTGATTCTCACTGGTTATTGTTTGACAATATAAAGGCTATTGACTTTTCACATTACTGTATCCTGCTACCTTACTGCATTCTTTCATTAGAATTTGTGTAGGTTTTATCATAGATTTTTCTCAAGTTTTCTAATAGCTTTATTTCTTTTTTCCTGAGGCTTGTGAAGTTGATACATTTTTAGTTCACAGACTCCTCATTTTCCAAAATTCACACTTAAATTGGGACTCTATTTTCATAATATGTTATATATAATATTATTTCAATTTTAGATCATTGGAATCTGCATAAAATCCTACTACATCAAACAATCTTACTTTCATCTAGTCACTGAGACAATTGCAACCCAGGCCAACATTTTCTGGCTTTCTAGGGCCCCCACCCACGCTGATCTCAACACCTACAGGCCAGGCTACCATCCTATTCTCCAACACCACTCAAGTCTATACAACAGGGAAGCAGATTTACACCAGCTCCACTTGGAATCTCAACAACAGCAAATCCTATCAGTTGTTCATCCTCATACAGCCCTGAATAAAGTCTCTCTCACTCTCTACCCCTTTCTCAGTCCTTGTCCTAAAATCTCCTGCTTATCCTCCTAGAAGCCCATTTTCACAGGGCTGAGAAGGAAGACTTTCACAAAGCTCATAACAAAATGGCAAAAAAATTATAAAATTCTCAAGACAGAAGCTAGAAAAATGAAACTTATTGTGAGGTCAGACAGACTACACAGCAATACAGAATACTAAATGTTAACCAACTGCAGGAGCCAAGTTCAATATTTCCCAAAATAACAGTACCTTTCCTTTCTTCACACGATCCATAATTTTGCCAAGATCCTCAACATCAACAACAGAATTTAGGCTCTTATGGTCCTCAGAACCAAACTCTTCCTCACTGGTACTCTCACAGGCCTCTTCCTCCTAGAAGATAAATGCTTCAGAAACACATTGTTCAACGTACAAAGTTTACACTCTCCCACATTGAGAATTCACTGTCTTTACATTTTTAGTTTTAAAAAAAACTTATCGCCTTTGGCATCATACTAATCACTGTGGAAGGGCATCTGTCTCACAGAGTGAGAACAATTAACACCCCATCTGCCCTCCCATGTGACAATGACATGAGCAGGGCTCAGGGGAAGGGGCACATGCTAGGCAAAAGGAAACAGTTGAGGTAGCCTTGGGGTTGGGTCCTCACAGGGAGCTGGCTCGCCCCAAAAGCTAGCTTGGATGCAGTCTCCTCGCCACTCCGGCAGCACCCCAAGTCTGAAGCAGGGTGGATGGTCGGGGAAACTGCTCCGGGTCCCTGCAAGCCGGGAAAAGCCAGGGACCAAATGGCCCCTAGCCACTGCACCTGAAGACTGCCTCTTGTCCCTTGTCCCACTGGGGCCCAGCCACCACTGGGGCGCTGTGAGCATGGCAGTGGGTAGTCACACTCCCAGGTCGAGGTCTGAGCTGGGAATGGTGATCAGGCCTCAGGGCCTTTTTTGAACTGTGGCAGCTGATGCTTAGGCCGAAAGCAGAAGAGGACAGACATGTAAGGACACTGGATGTGGGCGGCCTCTAAGCCTCAGTGTTTCCCCAGGTGGCTTATGGGCAGGATACATTCCTGGAGTGGGAACTACGCATCAAAGGAGATAAACTGCCCAACTGCCCTCCAAAAGAACAGTTTACATTCTCACTAGCAATGGATTAGAGCACACCTTGTGCATTCTGGACATCACTGTGCCCTGGAGGCAAAATGAAACTCCTGCATGGACAACTGAGGAGTCTCTTTGTACATCTCAAGTCAGAGACGAGATTTCTCTACGCTGCCCAGGCTGGAATGCAGTAGCATGAACATAGCTTACTGCAGCCTCCAACTCCAGGCCTTAAGCAATTCTCCTGCCTCAGCCTCCTGAGTAGCTGGAATGACAGGCATGTACCACCATGCCCAGTTAGTTGTTTTCTTTTGTTCAAAAGAAATTATGATTTCTGCCTTCAAGCATGAAATCCTTTAAAAAGAAGCGATAATCTCTGATTCTGTCTTTACTCGGTTTTTTTCACCATGTCAACCTAAGGAGAACAAAGTTTATCTTGGAGAGGTCTCTTCCTCTTGCACCCAGATGATCTCTAAAGTCTTCCCAGCTCTGACATGCTGTAATAAGGAATCAACTGTTATCCTAGGTCAATTTTCATCATGCTACTACTCTGATTCTGGAGCACCCTGCTTTGTTTTTGCACTGAAATCATCTGTGTTGGTGATAGAAGTTCCGAAGTCCCTTACTCAAATCCAACATTATACCAATAAAAATATCATGATTTAAAAACTGTCATATGGGGCAATCTCTTTAAGGTCCCCTCCGGCTGTAGGAGCTTTTCTGTCCTTCTAATAAATCCCACTTTCAAAAACAAAAACAAAAACTGTTGTATGAATATGTGGTATGCTGACTGAATATTACCAAAGGAAAAAATGAGAAGTAGAGGAAACATGACATCACTGTGAAGAAACACTCGTTCTGTATCTCTTATGTGCCCAGGACACAGCACTCTCCATATAGTCACTCATTTAAGCCTTAACTACTTAGGATGTATATATGTTCAGCATCATCTCACAGATGAGGAAATTAAGGCCAGAGAAGTTAAGAAATCACAGTCACAGGCACAGTGTAGCTACAGAAGCAGGTACAAATACAGTCTTCATCACTTTCTCTAGTGAGCTGCTAAGCCCAAATCGAAGGATAAAAAAATTTTTTTTTTTTTTTGAGTTGGAGTCTCAATCTGTCACCCAGACCCCAGCCACCACAGCCTCAACCCGCTGGGCTCCGGCAATCCTTCCACCTCAGCCTTCCAAGGAGCTGGAACTACAGGCGCATGCTACCACGCCTGGCTAATTTTTTGATTTATTGTAGAGATGAGGTCTCACCAAGTTGCCCAGGCGGGTTTCAAACCCGCGGGCTCAGGCAATCCACTCACCTCAGCCTCCCAAGGCGCGGGATTACAGGCTGAGCCACCGAGCTCAGCTAAAACATTTTTTTTTTTGAGTAGGAGTCTCACTTCGTCGCCCAGGCTGGAGTGCAGTGGCACACTCACCGCCACCGCAGCCTCGACCTGCTGGGCTCCGGCGATCCTTCCACCACAGCCTTCCAAGTAGCTGAAACTACAGGTGTGTGCTACTGCGCCTGGCTAATTTTTTGATTTATTGTAGAGACGAGGTCTCACTATGTTGCCCAGACTAGTCTCGAACAATCCTCTCGCCTCAGCTTCCCAAAGTGCTGGGATTACAGGCTTGAGCCACCACTCCTGGCAACAGATTTTTAAGAAGTAAAGAAGTTGCTTGTTTCAAACAGCAGACACTTTCTGATAAACTCAAGGATCACTTTTAAGTTAAAAGAAGCATGATGTCAATAACCTTCATGTGCCAGGCAATAAGCCCCACAGTATAACAGATATGTTACACAGTCAGACTGATAGGTGCTGATCAAGCAGTCAATTCAAAATAAAACAGCCCCTCTACTGTTCATGCCCCAGATGATGGGAAAATCATGGATGGTCTTATCATCTCCTATTTTAAACTAGGCCTGCTACTACAGAAGCAGGGCTGTGACGGGTTCACTGGTATATGTTTTGCTTTGTCCATAAATGAGTAGAGTCTTCTCTGCCTTGTTTCCAGATTCAAAATAAACCATTTCCAGAAATAGGTATATGGAGGTGTTCTTTACTAAGGTGAAGCTTCAACAGAAAATCTGCCAGTTAACACTACACTCATCTCCTAGTCTCACATCCAGACTATCAAAGACAGAAATGAGAACACCACCTGAAACATACTTTCCAAAAATTAGTCAGTCTTTTACATCATCTAGCCCAGTGTTTTCCGACCAGTGGATCTAAGCATTTAAGAATATATACAAGCCGGGCTCGGTGGCTCAGCCTGTAATCCAGCGCTTTGGGAGGCTGAGGTGAGCGAATTGCCTGAGCTCGCGGGTTCGAGACCTGCCTGGGCAACTTGGCGAGACCTCATCTCTACAATAAATCAAAAAAATTAGCTGGGCGTGGTAGCGCGCACCTGTAGTTCCAGCTACTTAGAAGGCTGAGTCGGAATGATCACCGGAGCCCAGCGGGTCGAGGCTGTGGTGGCCAGGAGCAGCTACTGCACTCCAGTCTGGATGACAGAGTGAGACTCCAACTCAAAAAAAAAAAAAAAGAGTATATACAATATTGGCTCTTCTGATGTATTTATTTATTTTCCTGGAATTATAATAAAAACCAGTATTGCCAATGTGTCCTATGATCCTATCACCTCATTTAAAATACATTTCTTTCTTGTTTTTTTTCCTTGAGACAGTGCCTTGCTCTGTTGCCCAAGCTGGAGTGCAGTGGCACAATCATAGCTCAGTGCAACCTCAAACTCCTGAGGTTAAGCTATCCTCCCGTCTTGACCTCCCAATAGCTGGGACTACAGGCACATGGTACCACGCCTGGCTGTATATTTTATTTTCTGTAGACAGGCTCTTTCTGTGTTGCTCAGGCTGGTCTCAAACTCCTGGCCTCAATCAATCCTCCCACTTCAGCCTACCAAAGTGCTGGCAAGTATACGAACAGCCTTCATCCTTTTCTCTAAAGAGCTGCTAATCCCAAATCACATTACAGGTATGAGCCACTCTGCACCTGGCCTCATTTCCAATTACTATCAGAATTTTAGGCATAAAGAGACATCAGGAATTATCTAGTCCAATCTCCCCATCATATCCTAAACTACAGGAAAGTAAATGTTTCCCATAAAAGGCTAAATAGTGTAAAGGTATGGTGGCTCATACCTGTAATCCCAGCCAGCATTTTGGGAGACCGAGGCAAGCGGATTGTCTGAACCCAGGGGTTCCAGACTAGCCTGGGCAACATGGCAAGACCTAGTATCTACAATAAATCAAAAAAATTAGCTGGGCGTGGTGGCGCTCACCTGTAGTCCCACCTACCTGGAAGGCTGAGGCAAAAGGATCACCTGAGCCCAGCAGGTAGAGACTGCAGTAGTCATGATCGTGCTGCTATACTCAAACCTGTGCAACAGAGTGAGAGTCCAACTCAAAAAAAAAAAAAAAAAAGGCTAAATTATAAATATTTCTGACCTTGTGGAACATACAATCTCTGTCTCAACTACATAGCTCTGCCACTCAAACAAAAAAGCCGCTACAATAATAATGAATGAGCATGCCTGTATTTCCAAATATTAAAAAAAAAACAGGCAACAGGCCCGTGAGGCAGTTTGCTAATCCCTGTCCTAGACTTTCCTTTATAACTTCTCCTTAGACCCTCACAGTTTCAGACAGAAAATCTCATGTCAGGAATTGACTGCCTCCCAAAGAAACCCATTTTGTCTTCGAATAAAATCTGATCACAACTGCTATTAACTTGGCTCTGTGACCCTGGGAAACTTCAAAAGTTCACCTCGATAAACACTGGATAAAATTCATAGTAGCCACTATGGCTAGAAAATGAATGTGACACATTCCCCCAGTCCTCAGGGAGATTCCAATCCAGTAAGAGACGCATAGATACAAATACTTAAGCAATGCTTTAATGAAAGGGTTTAAAAACACAAAAACGATCCTCGGAGTCTGGGAAGCTGCCTGCTAGGCGATGCCTGAGTCAAAAGTTAAGGTTAAATAAACTGGCCTGGCTAGAGGAAACCAGGTGGGAAAGTTGCTGGAAGTGGTAAGAAAAGTCACTTAGGCAAGTAGCAGGAGGCACGCAGCAACTATAGAGATTACCAGTAGAGAAAGAATAAAGCATACAACACAGGGAGAAAGTGCTACAGAGAAAGATGTGGACCAGACTGCCCAGGGTCTTATCTGTCCCAGAAAGAGAGAATGGAAAGCTTCTGAGGTGGTCTGTTTGGGACTAAGAAGATAACTGAAGGCAGACAAGACTGTAGACAAAGATAACTG